GTACCAGAAACGCCCCTGGGATGTGTCTTTAAGCCAAACTTCCTCATCACAGAGCACCCCTCCCCACCCCACAAACACCACCGAACGGGATGGGACAGAAGCAGAAGGAGGTTCTTAAAGAGACAGAGGCCAATTTCAAGGCATTTAGAAGAGGAAGTGATGAGAAGATAAGTTTATTTTCTATTTAAACATAAAAACAGCATTTTAATAACAACTAAATGTAATGTTAAAATATAAATAATGTTCGTTACCCTTTACCTGTTCAGATCTAATACCAGTTAATAATGACATGTGAATGTTGGAGTGAGCCATACAAAACCATTCAGACACAGCTGTGTGGACTGATTAGCTTTTGTTTTAATTTGTCTCTGACAGGCATCAGGTAAACAGTGAGTAAAAACCAGGAACACACATGAAGTACCAGCTTTCTTCACATCCTGACTCCACCTCATGACATACGTTAAAGGGCCAGGCTGCTCCTAAATGGAGTCAAGATGTCAGACATCATCCCTCACACTAATGTTTGATCACGGTTCTTATGTGTTGTTTTTAAATCWGACATGTATCTGACTAAAAGCCTCCTGAGTCTGTGAGACCCTGATCCAGAGCCCCACAGCCCAGTCTGCACATAAAATCATCAATTAAGTCAGAGATTACCACATTATAGAAATATATTACTGTCCACCTAAAACAGACTATACAATGTGTAGTGTCTTTATAAATCAGTAGTAAACAACCCCAATAAATTTCTTCAGTAACATAGATACTTTATTATGGTATAGTATTTAAATGTATGCCTGAGAAACATAATATTGCCCCTTTAATTTCTTCAGGATCTTTGTTTGAATTGTTGCTTCCACAGAAGTTAAATGTGCATGATTTCCCTCAAGCCGGTGACAGTAGGACTTTATTCATTAGATCTGTGACTTTTAACATGTTTGGATTTTATAGTTAGTGTGTAGTTTTGAGTGTTTACTCTTCATTTTAACCAGTTTTAGTGTTTTAAATCAAAACAATGAGGCAGTTCTTTTTAAACAAGGAGAAGTACGGAGGTCTGCAGAGGCAGAACAACATGTCTTATTTCTCTCCCCTCTTTTTTACAGTTAGAAAAAATTAATATTTTATCTCTGGATGTTTTTTTTTCCATGAGAAGTGCAGTTCTACAGCAACTTTTCACCATTTTTACTGTTTTCCACATAGAGGAACTCATCCTATTTTCCCCCAAACCAAYATGTCAGCCTCCATCTACAACATGGTCACGTGACAAAGTACCCAGCTGTTTGACTTTGAGATTTTTTTCATCTCTTTCATAGGGATTAAAATAATCTAAATGAACAAAGAAGATTCCCTGCTGTTTGTGTTGTTAGCCACTGTAACAAAGCTCTGTTTACATGCAGACTTCACTTCCTGTTACTTCACATGCAAACATCTTAACAACTGGTCATCTCACTGGTGTGAAATTGCTTTTGCAATATGTTATCCATCTTATCTTTCCAAAAGTGCGTTCATATTTATCACAAAAATTAGATGTCACAGGTACTTTAAGCAGCAAAAAAATACTTTGACTGAAAATGTGTCTACACGTAGAGGTTACCCAAGCATCGCCCTCCTCCACCTCCCAGTAACACACACTCATCTTCCTGCACGTCTGCTGACTTCTGCCTTCAGCCATTATGGCCTGTGCTGTCAGGACATCGTTTTAATGCAGGTCCCAAAGGTCYAAATAGAACCTCTTTGAGTTATTTTCCTGGTTAAATGCAAGAACAATGTCAATGTTTAAGAGAATGGTTCAGGTCACTTTGTTAAAGAAATATGAAATAATATAATGTGTGAACATACGAAATGATGCTAAGTTAGGTGCAGATATAAGATTTATTTCTTCTTTCAGTCGCCTTTCATTTTATTTGTGATTTGTGTTTTTTTATTGTGCATAGATTTTGTTGCTTTTAAAGAAATGAAATGAGTAAAGAAATAAAATAGAAATACTACTACTTATTCCTCATGCTGACCTGAAGCCTTAGTTTGAAAACTTAACACCTTGTGGGTCATTTTGACCCAAGGGCAGCAGGAGAGTTAATGAGCTAAACATTATACACTGTAAAATGTTTTATTTTTACTCAGTGTAATGATATGATCAGACAATACTTTTTCACAGGGTTCCCACGGTCCTTGAAATCTTTGAAAATTTGTGAATTTGAAGAAATGATTTCAAGGCCCTGGAAAGTTTGTGAAAACAGCCAAAAAATACACTTGTCTTTGAAAGTCCTTGAATGTTTTTTGGGGATTGAAGTTCTCTATTCCCATGACTG